TCTACCGATGGTCATATATAGGATGATCTTAATCCTGAGTTCTTAACAAACTCCTATTTATGGATTTATGTCTTTTGATTTACTCGGTACGGATTCCGAGACCCTGAATCATATTCCTTGTATTTTGGAGACATAATGAAATAGGTAGCTGAGAATGTTATTGTACGAGATGGAATCCATTCCTTCTTGAGAAAGAAATAGATAAATAATTCTCTTGAGTGTTGATTCGGTACTTGGATTAGTAAGAGCGCTATGCAATGACTATATCAAATGGACACTTCACAGTTTAGAAGTAATTTATATCTATAATTTCGAGAGTGCAATTCCAAGTTTATAGTGGAGTAACTATTGGAATTAATAGAATTAATTAATTAATTAAAGTGTTTAATTGATTATTAATTTTATTGGAGCTCGGGATTATAGGTCCATTAGTCCCCGCGTCGTCCTAGTAATTCTACCAGACACAGAGGGTAAAATGGGAAATTTTAGAATTAAGGAATTCTATAAATTAAATACTCGAAAATAATTAATTGAGAATTGATTATTATTTAAATAATGTGATTATTTAAATTTGAATTTGAACACATCTAGATTTATCCATTTAAACTTATTTGATAAGTTGTTCAATTTTAGAATTCAAATTAATTTAAGTTTGACTTAAATTTGAATTTGAATCTGAATCAAAATTGGACTACAGGATAAAGGATGATTTTTCTCTTCATTTCCTATCTGAATTGACGCCACACACAGGGTTAGGAAACCCTAATATGGCCAGCCACTTTAGAGATAAGGGGAAGGGATTTTTGTTCCGAAATTCAAAATTAGAGATAAGGATTTGATCTTGTTTTGAAGTTTGACTTCTACTCTTTAAATATGAGAATGATAGAAAATTGTGGACACAATTTTTGAAACATTATTCAGCCCTAATAATTAAGGTGTGGCCGAATTTACTCATTAGGAAAAAGAGAGCAAATATTTTTTCTCCAAAAATTCCACATCGTGCATGCATTGGTGTTTGTGAAAATTTGAGTGTTTGAGAAACATGTTTTTGTCTCACGTGTACCCACACACACGTCTACGTGGAATCTAAGAATTGACGTGGAAGACATTGGTATTCTAAACACAAAGATTGGAGCAAGGATGTTGGTCTCCGAATCGAATCCGGATGCGGAAGCGTGGTGGTGCGGGGAAGAGGCGGATCGTGTATAACAAAAATTTTCATAAAACTTTTGAGATACTCTATAGATTATATTAATTTATGCACGAATAAATTAATCTCATTAACTTATATATAT